TCATTTTCTCAAGATATCAATGTCTACCAGACAACTAGTTTTAGGATATCAAGTGCCCAATTTTAAAAAGGTTAAGTAACCGAAGTAAGGCAAAAGAGTTATACATTCTTGCCAGATACGGTGGCTCACACCTGTAATCCCAGCATTTTGGGATGCTGAGACAGGAGGGATGCTGAGACAGGAGGATCACTTGAGCCCAGGAGAGTCTGAGACCAGCCTGGGCAACATAGCAAGACCCCGTCTCTTTAATAAAATTAAAAAGTGAGGGGAAACAGTTATAAACTGTTGTCACAATTCTCCAGTCCATTATCATTCACCTTTAGCATTCCAGAAAATGAGGGAAAACCTTGAGAGAAAAGGAGTGCAAGTATCAAGTTAAACTCTTGCTTATTTGCTTACCTACCTTATTTCCACAAAAAGCATAAAGTGGTATGACTAACAAAGGCAATTCTATTTTGAAAGATTTGAAAGCATGGAAACCCATTCTTGCAAGTAGTTCACAGGACTATGACTTACCATTAAATTTCAATGATTACATTTCAGATCTCTGATAAAACTCATTTTAAACGGCTGAATAAAATCAAGCTTAGGTCATGATTGAACATAACACCAAATAAAGCAGAGATAAAACAGTTGTAATTTGCTGTGAGAACTCAGATGTTTCACACTATTTACAACCACTTAGAATAGTACCTGCCTATTTAACAAGTTAATTTTTAAAAAATAGGTACTACCTGCTACTGGGAAAGGTCCACTTGAATTGTCACTAGTAGTGAATTAACAGCTAAATTTATGGAACACCTACTGTGAACCAGGATTTACACCAGGTGGTTTTCATTATTGTTTTCATCCTCACGATAACACTATCGAATACATATTAAGTTGCCTACCTGGATTAAAGTCACAGCTAAAGCTGTGCATGGCAGCTCATGACTAATCCCAGCACTTTGGGAGGCCAAGGAGGGCAGATCATGTGAGGCCAAGTTTGAAACCAACCAGGCCAACATGGCGAAACCCCATCTCTACTAAAAATACAAAACTTACCTGGGCGTGGTGGTCGCTCCTATAATCCCAGCTACTTGAAAGGCTGAAGCATGAGAATCGCTTGAACCTACAAAGCAGAGGTTGCAGTGAGCAGAGATCACGCCACTGCACTCTAGCCTGGGTGACAGAGCAAACCCGTGTCTTTAAAAAATAAAAATAAAATTTAAAAAGGCACAACTAAAAAGGGGCAAAGTGTAGTTTCAAACCCAGGTGTGACTACTTCCACCATACTGTATGTTAATACATTATAACTGGTTGCTGGGCATGGTGTCTCATGCCTGTAAATCCTAGCACTATGGGAGGCCTAGGCAGGCAGATCACTTGAGGTCAAGAGTTCGAGACCAACCTGTCCAACGTGGCGAAACTCCATCTCTAAAAATATGAAATTTAGCCGGGCATGGTGGTGTGCACCTGTAACCCCAGCTACTTGGGAGGCTGAGGCATGAGAATCACTGGAACCCAGGAGGCAGAGGTTGCAGTGAGCCAAGATCACACCACTTATACTCCAGCCTGGGTGACAGGGTAAGGCTCCATCTCCCAAAAAAAAGAAAAAGGGTTTTGGGGGGCAGGATTTTTAAAATATTCTAAAGCCCAGGCCATGCCCCAGTCCAATTAAACCACAATCTGGGGTGTTGGTGGGGGCGGGGGATGGTTGACACATTGGGGAAGCTCCCCAATGATACCAATGGTGTAGGTAAGTTTGGGCCCCACCACTACACATGCTCTTATATATTGCAAGTTAGGACACTGCTGCATTGAACATGCTTCAGCAGTATCCTTCAACCAGACCTAATGATGTAATACACTGTACCTTCAATCATTGTGCCATAGTTCTACAAAACAAATATTCCAGAAGGGTAGGCAGAATGAATTTAAAGTGTAAGTTAACTGTACAAGTGAACAAAAATTCACAATTACAAAACCTCTTGAACTAGATAATTACAAGACATTCTCAAGTCCTGAACTACAAGTTTTTCAGGTCCACGTGTCCCATAATTATATATATATATATATATATATATATAAAAAGTATATATGTATAAATATGTATACATGTGTGCATATGTATACACATATACATATATATTTTTTTGAGAGACAAGAGTCTCGCTCTGTCGCCCAGGCTGGAGTGCAGTGATACAATCTTGGCTCACGGCCTCTGCCTCCCAGGTTCAAACAATTCTCCTGTCTCAGCCTCCCGAGTAGCTGGGATCAGAGGCATGCACCACCACACCCAGTTAATTTTTGTATTTTTAGACAGAGTGGGTCAGACGGGGTTTCACCATGTTGGTCAGGGTGGTCTTGAACTCCTGACCTTAGGTGATCCTCCCGCCTCAGCCTCCCAAAGTGCTGGGATTACAGGCGTGAGCCACCATGCCCGGCCCCCCAGTTAAATATTAAAACAATCACAGTTCTCCTGAGTCCCATCATTTTAAGTTCAAGCATTCAGCCCTGCCTAAAGAAAGGAAATAAAAAACACCAGCATCTGAAGCATCTCTGCAGCATCTGGAGGCTTTCAGGGATTTTTCTATTGCTTGAAATGTCCTGTCATTCCCAACAGCCAAATCACTTTTATAACCTCAGGAAACATAACCATCTAAAAGTTAAAATATCCAACTCTTAGTGATAATCATTTAAAAGCCCTAGTAACACATCCCTTATTTATAGAAATATTTCACAAGTGTGTATCCTTTTTTCCTTTCTACCCTTTTTTTTTTTTTTTTTTTTGAGACGTAGTCTCACTTTTTTGCCCAGGCTGGAGCACAGTGGCACGATCTCAACTTACTGCAACCTCCGACTCCTAGGTTCAAGCGATTCTCCTGCCTCAGTATCCTGAGAGTAGCTGGGATTACATGTGTACGCCACCACACCTGGCTTATGTTTGTACTTTTTTTTTTTTTTTTTTTTTAAAGTACAGACAGGGTTTCACCACGTTGGCCAGGCTGGTCTCCTGACCTCAGGTGATCCGCTGGCCTTGGCCTCCCAAAGTCCTGGGATTACAGGTATGAGCTACCGCACGCGGCCTACCCTCATCATCTAAATTCAACTTAGTTTGCATGATTATGGAGCATGTATGTAGAATCTAATATCAGATTAGGGATGATGACGGATGGGGTGTTAGAACAAGTTATTTAACAGATTCCTAAAAGGTTTATATAACCACATTTTAACAGTATACATAAACACTAGCAAAAAAGGACAAAGTATTTTGGGGGGAACCAGATCCTCTAACATACTGAATTTTGTCTATATAAATCTGATTTTATTGTCAATCTGGTTTTTAGATTAACACACTATTTCAATTTTAATAGAAATCTGCAGAAATATTCTAATCCTTATACTAAAATCAAGCAAATAGTTTTTGAAATGCTATTTTAAATCACCACCTTAAGAATTTTGCTCATGAATTACATTTTATAACAAAATAAAATAAAGGGGGGGGGGTAGAGAATTAGCAGTGACAGGGACTTAAAAGGAACCAAGAAATTCAAGGGAATAGATTATGTTCACTTAGTTGTAGGTCAAGACACTGTAAACTGTATGCTTTACCTGTGTGTTCAAGTCAATTTATACCTCAATAAAGTGTTAAAAAACAAAAATAAAAAAGCTGCAGAAAAAATGAGTTTGAAATGGCCAAATTTGCTTTTCAGACTTCCATAGCCTAGCTCTAAGTTCAGCAATTCCACCTTAGATCTATAACTAGTTTCTGTTTGTAGGCTATCTTCACAACAATATGGTCCAAGCTGTTTACCAGCTGCCCATTATTTACACAGCAAGCTAAAACTATGTTAAACTTTAACTGTTCTCTTAAATTATGTGTATGGCTCCAACCCCTCATAACCAAGCTTATTAATGTCATTAACTTAATGCATACAATAACCATACCACTGTACTTTACCATTTTTATAAAGAGTAAATTACTAAACACATTCCATATCACAATGCATTAAAGCACAATAAACATGAATTAACTGCTGGTAAATGGGAATTAAGGCAGAAAAAACTGTCTAAGACAGATGCCAAAAAACCAAAATTACAGAATCTTTTTTGAAAGTAGAAAACACAGTAAGGTAGATCTCAAATGTAAACCACGTTCCTCAGGTTCCTTCTAGCTTGTTTTTGAAAATACAGGTTGCATCTGACAGATTTCATTAATCTATTAAGCAAATAGTACAATCTAAGAGTCTCAAAGACATCAATATGTGATACCGATAGCTTTGTCAAAGCATGCTTTACATTCTCCTGTGGCTAATTCTAACTACATTTAACTTTAGCTGATTAGATTGAATTGTGACAAATCATATAGTAAAACCTCATTTTAAGTATAAGGTCTATTTAATATTTTATTACCATTCTAACTTCCTCAAGTTTTGTGGGAGTGTGCTAGTGTGTTGTTTTTAATTTCCCCATCACCACCAGTCTCAGTGGGAACAAAAAAAATAGTTTCCGATGAAAGCTAGGGAGTCCGGGTAGGGTATTTATGTAGAAATAGCAAAATACTGCAGCCATCTGAGAAAATACCGTTTTAAAAAACAACAAACACTTAGGAATAGATCTGACATAAAACCCCAAATATTTTTGCTCTAAGATTATGCTCTTTACAATTAGAATATATTTAAACATGAGGGGGAGCTAAAAGGAAATGGGGGTAAACAAAACCAGAAAAATCAAAATACAAATATACACAGAGCCAAAATACTTTCAGTCAGCAGCAAAACAGAAACAATTCCAAAGTTAATGTGCAAATGAAAATAAAGTAGTTAACAGTCATTCATTTAATAAGCTTGTGTATTTGATAATGAAAAGGCTTAGCTTTCCTTTTCTCACCTTGGAAAGTAATCATCATCTTTAGTAAGGTATTACTTTTAAAAGTATGACTTTAACAAGTGAATAAAGCATGTTTAGAGTATGTTTATGTTTAGAAACAATACCTTGAACACTACAGAAAACAACAATATTCTGAAAATCCAGTTTATTTTCCATGTTGTGGACAGATCCAGTCAGTGTGATCAGTTTTTCTGCGTGTGTAATAATTTATCAAAATAAGTTTTCCCACAAGACTCTTTTCCATCAACTCTGAAAACCCTGGTCTGACAACATACCCCAATAAAGCTTTTGAAAATCACCTCTTAAAATTTGGAAGAAAATGTGGCAAGTCTTTTCCTGTAACATTTACTGCACTACAAATGGCTAAAGAGCAATTTATGTTTTAAAAGGTGAACAGTACAACAGCTGAGTTCAGGAAATTGTTTTAGTGCACTTTGCTCCAGTTTTAGCCAACATGCTACATTTTCCTTTTTGGTTTTTTTGTTTGTTTTTTTGGGGGAGGAGAGGGGGACCGCACAAAGTGGACTTAAGGATTTCCATTGTACGAAAAAGATATGACTCTGCAAGCAAAACAGTGTAAGCTGCCTTTTTTCTTAAGACCTGGACATTTTAAGACAGAAGCTTTGCAAAACATTACACAATTTTTTATTATTAAATGAGAAAATCTCATTTGTTACATCGTCACATTGCTAGTCAGAGAAATGTTGCAGTGATGAAGAAAGTCAATGTTGGACCAACCCAAGTCCTCATTCCTACAACATTCATTTACAAAGAAATAATGTTCGACACAGCCCAACAAAACATTCTTGGTTTTCTTCGTATTGAAGTCCCCCAAAAAATCCTCTTCTAAATGGGGTATTTCACTACATAAATTATAGTTCTTCATTTTTACAATTCACCCCAAACTGTATGAGAGATGTATCACACTAAGATTTCTAAAGCTGTTAGGAAATCCTTCACACATCGTCGTCATCTGATGTGTCACTGCTACTTGTTTCTGTGTCATCATTCTCAGTTGTGGGTTTGAAAGTGCTGTTCTTCCAAGGTCCAAACTTGAAGTCACAGATCAGGCCGTTTTTCAAAATACCATTTTTTCTCAGACCATTCTTCTGTAACTAGAATGTTAAAGGCAAAATAAATAAATTATTCCTCAAGAGTTACAAACCTACTGTAATAAATATAAGCATGAATATAATAAAATTGTATCCTATCCCCAAAACTCCACAAGTAATGATATGTCTGAAAAAATCTTGGATCCAGACAAAGTAGATGTAATAATTGTCACATTGATTAAGGTACTAAACTTTTCCACATTTTTACTGCCTCAAGTGACAACTGTGATAAATACCTTCAGGGACTTCCCAGAATATAATCAGAAACGATTAAGCTATATCTGTTATTTTTATTATTCTAACCTAAATTAATACACTCCCCCACAATCTGCTTTGTTCATAGTTTGTAAAGTAGAATGAGGTATATAAAGTTACAAATCTCTTGCTTAACCAGAGATGAAGATACTAGAAAAAATATAGTTGTCTATTTCTGAAAATGAGAAATCATAACTAAAAGGTTAGTTGGTAATAAATAAGAATTGGGTCAAAAGATCATCAAAGAAGAAAAAAGATAGTTGGCTCAAATTAGAAACAATTTAAAGACAGAAAATAAGCCCAGTGTAGTGGCACAAGCCAGTAGTCCCAGCTGCTCAGGAAGCTGAGACAAGAGTATTGCTTGAGCCCAGAAATTTGGGGATGCAGTGAATTGTAAGTGGCCACTGCACTCCAGTCTGGATGACAGAGTGAGACCCCAACTCTTTAAATAAACAAATAATGGATTTGAAAAAAGCATCTCAACTTTCCGATGCTCTAACAAAAATTCCCTAATACTCTTTCAGAAAGGTAACTAGGGAAACATTAAGCAAGATGTTTTAGAATATGAAATACTCTTGTGCAAGAAAAGGATAAAAGGTGAAGTTACTTATGAAGCTACTAACACTCTCTACTTCTTATCACTCTTGCTCCTCCCCCAAAAAAGTCAAAAAAACAAAACAAAAAAGGTCCAGAAAATGACTAATCATAGACATCACTTACACTAATTCCTAACTATTGCACACCCAATAGTTTAAAGAAGCCACTATTGCAGATTTCTACAAAGTCAATTCAACCAGGTGCAGTGGTTCCTGCCTGTAGTCCCAGTTACTCCAGAGGCGAAGGTTGGAGGACCACTTGGAACCCAGGAGTTCTAGAGGCCAGCTGGACAACACAGCAAAAGCCTGTCTCCCTCTCTCTCCTTTTTTTGTTTGTTTTAAAAGCAATTCTGACCTATCGTGATAAATTCCTAAATAAAACTTTTAAAATCTCCCCCATTCCATGCTTGCATATAATTATATTGTTCTAAATAAGGTCAATTTAAAAGTGAAGTTGTGTGATTCAGGTTTTCTTACCTGTTCACTAATAACTTGGAATTCTCTCATTTCATCCTCAGTTAAGGGAGCACAAGTTTCATCATTTTCACTGTCTTCCTGCCAGCCCATTTCCTTTAACAATCTGAAAAGGAGAGGAAAGGAAGTTTAATTTAAAGCTTACCCTGTGCAGGACAGTTTCATTTTTATTATGTATAAGAAAACATGATCTAGGATCCACTATACAAAGACCCCAAGACACATCAAAAGGATTTTTGAGCTCAGGCTTTGAATATCTTTCTGAAAATGAATAAACAGGTAAGATTAACAAACTGATATTAAAATTAGAATGAACTCCTTGACTGCTTAATCTTTGGTGTCAAAGGCTCTTCAGGCTGGAAACTTTTAACAGACGTGAAGCAAATCTGCTAAATTCTTATACTAAAAGTAACAGCAATATCACTCCTCTTTTTCTTCAGTACCACCATATTTCTGACTACTCATTAGGTTTTCTACTTAGGCAATCATAAACATTGTAGCAATAGCTACAGAATTTGATTGGGAAATCTCCAAGCTTGTTTCTTATATGGCCACATATCTTGTATTGATATGAAAGGGTTTTTACAAAATGAAACCCCTAAGTACCTCTGTTACTCCTACAAGGAGTCTTCAAAAAGTTCATAAAAAAATGTATATCATGGAAAAACTATGCAAGAATTTCAAGGAAAAAAACTCTGCACCAAAATAAACTTGTGATAACTTGTGATAACATGTTTCAACAGAATCTTGTTTAAGGCACCACAAAGGGTAAGATTTGGGAAAAGCCCCTATCAGATCAACATGAATTCTGCTAAAATTGAAGCAAGAATACCAAATTTATAGTGAAACTTGGGTGGAAGAATAATGAAATCACTGATGCTTTACGAAAAGTTTATGGGGACAATACCCAATGGAAACCAGCAATTTCAAATAGATAACTCATTTTAAGAAGAGATGAGGTGATTCTGAAGATGAAGCCCTCACAGAAGCAGCAGCAGACCATCCTGATCAATTGACAAGGAAAAAATTAATCCTGTTAGTGCCCTAACTGAAGAGGACTGATGATTAACAACAGAAACAGCCAACATCACAGACATCACACTTGGTTCAGCTTACTTAATTCTGTATGAAAAATAAAGTTGAATAAACTTTCCACTCAATGTGTGCCCAGATCATCTGCAGACAAAAACAGAGCTTTCAATGGAAAGTTTAAACAAGTGGGATCAAGATTCTGAAGCATTTCTTCAAAGAACTGCACATGGCTTTACCAGTATGATCCAGAAGACAAATCACAAAGCACTAGCTACCAATAAGTGGAAGTGATGCGCTCAAAGCAAAAGAGGACCAGTCAAGAGCAAAGGTCACGGCAACAGTTGTTTGGAAGGGATAAAGAACAGTAACAACTGCTTATTATGAGTGTTTTGAGAAGGCAACCTAAAGCTTTAGCGGAAAAATGCCTGGGAAAGCTTCACCAGAGAGTCCTTAAACACAACAATACTCCTGTTCATTCCTCTCATCAAACAAGGGCACTTTTGCAAAGTTTCAATGGGAAATCATTAGGCATCCACCTTTCAGTCCTGATTTGGCTCCTTCCGACTTCCTCATTTCCTAACCTTAAATTTTAGAGGGGGCCCATTTTTCTTCAGTTATTGTAAAAAAGACAGCACTGACACGGTTAAACTGCCAGGGCCCTCAGTTCTTCAGGGATGGTCTAAAATGACTGGTATCACTGCTTACAAAAGGGTCTTGAACTTGATGTAGTTATGTTGAAAAGCAGAGTTAACAGTTTTTATCATTTAATTACATTGTTCCACAAACTTTTAAGTCCCCTCTCATTTACACCTAACTCATCTTTAACTTGCGCCTGCTACACATTAGCTGCTTATAGACTTTTAGACCTTTTTTCAAAGAGTCTCACAGAATATCTGAGACCTTGAATAAAACGTTAATATGATATCCACATTTTGCAGATGAACAATAAAGATCACATAAGTAAAGTAACTTGCTTACTTGATGGCAAAGACAAATAGAATTTTGGTTTTCTGTCTCCCAAATCAGTATGTATTGCATAGCACCTTGTTGCTTTTGAACAAAAAGGTCACAGTCAGCATTAATCATTTCTTCTTTCATTCCTTTTAGCCACGACTTCTTCTAATGCACTGTCTTTACTCTTTAATTTGGATGGCCTCCTTTTGAAATAGCATTTCCACTCACTTTTACCATTCAATGTCACCTAATACAGAGGCTATTAAACTAGACCAGCAAAACAATCTAACTGCTCTTTTGCTGGATCTAAACTTTTACCTGTTTTACTTTTAAAAACTGAATCGTAACTAAGCAATGCAGGTGGAAAAAACTATCAACTATTATGAAAGAGAATATAACAGAAGGCAAGTATTTCTACTTCTCCACCAGAGGCTGTAGCTTTTAACTGTTCTTGAAATAGCTTTCAAAATAATCTAGTTGGGCGTGGTAGCTCACGCCTGTAATTCCAACACTTTGAGAGACCGAGGTGGGAGGATCACTTGAGCCCAGGAGTAAGGCCAGGCTGGGCAACAAAGTGAGACCCCATTTCTACAAAAAATAATAAGAAACATAAAAACAATCTGTGTTTCCCTTTCCCCCATAAACATACAAACATGTGCCACATAACTATATTTTGGTCAGATAACTGATGCATAACCCCATGAGACTGTAATACCATTTTCTTACTGTACCTTTGTATATGTTTAGATATGCTTAGATATACAAATACATACCACTGTATTATAATTACAAATACTGTACAATATTCAGTACAGTAATATGCTATATAGGTTTCTAGCCTAAAAATAAGAGTCTATACCATACAGCCTAGGTAGGTAGCAGGTTATACCATCTAGTTTGTGTAAGTACACTCTATGAGTTTCATGCCACGACAAAATCACCTAACGACACATTTCTCAGAATACAACCCTGTCATTAAGCAAAGCATGACTGACTGTATTACCGTAACCCTCACCTGTACTTTGCTTTTTCATTTAAATTATTTCTTCCCACTCTCCTTCAAACTATTGCCACATCATCCTGATACCAGTCTCACAATTACCATCTCTGATAAATATTTTCGGTGGTTTCTCACTTTCTAAAGAACAAACTCCTTAACTGTGTTTGTGCCACAGTCACAAATTCAAATTCCTCAGTAGGGAAATCTAGGATTAGAAGTTAGAAGACCTGGGTCACAGTTCCTACTTTATCACAAACCAAGTATAAGACATCTCTAAAGTCCTGCCTTTTCAATATGACCGTTAACTTCAGTGAGTAAATTTCCCATTCCTGTCAAAATATTCCACTGAACACCCTTAAAACAAACTAGGTATATACACCATTCTAACCATGTCTTTACATCCCTTCTTTTTCCAAACTACTATCTAGCACGCTTGCCCTTATTTATGTTTAACCCTTTCAAGATTTAATTTAGGTCCCAATTAAAACTTCCTGACTAGGGCCAGGCGTGATGGTTCATGCCTGTAATCTCACCAATTCAACAGGCCAGCTAGGAGTTCAAGACCAGCCTGGGATATAGTGAGACCATGTCTCTAAAAAATAAATTTTTATACAAATAACTATTTTAAAAAGAAAGGAAAGGAAAGGAAAAGGAAAGGAAAAGAAAAAGAAACCTTTGACTGGTACCCAAGTCATAATGATCTCTATCCCCAAACCCTCTGAATTTCTTTGGCATTTACTTCCACTAATTCATTTGGTGCTTGCTTAAACAAGTTGACAACTGTATCCCTTTGATGTTGAGGCTACCCTCAATACTCTGATAAAGTTGCTAAAACTTAACAACTAAGAATGATTTATGTGCCTGAGTATTTAATATTTCTTATTTTAATATTTGAAAAGTATTATTAAAAAACCTATCACTGGCCAGGCGCAGTGGCTCACGCCTGTAATCCCAGAACTTTGGGAGGCCGAGGCAGTGGATCACCCAAATCAGGAGTTCAAGACCAGCCTGGCCAACATGGTGAAACCCCGTCTCTACTAAAAATACAAAAAATTAGCCCGGCGTTGTGGCGGGTGCCTGTAATCCCAGCTATTCTGGGAGGCCAAGGCAGGAGAATCACTTGAATCCGGGAGGTGGAAGTTCCAGTGAGCAGAGGTCGTGCCACTGTACTCCAGCCTGTGTGACAAGAGTGAAACTCCATCTCAAAAAAAAAAAAAAAAAAAAAAACCACATACAAAACTATCACTGCCCCGTGATTATTAAATTCAACGAATATGAGTATTTATATGTATAAAACTTAAGAAGTCACAAAGTTTACAGAAAATATGAAGCAATGGAAAAGAAGTATCATTCCACTTTGACAGGAAAAAATAATCCTAAAATCTGAAAGAAGCCATTAACTCTCTTAGCTTAGAATGGGGAAAAGGGTATTGATGTACGTCTTTGAAAAATTTACAAACACATATTCTACTTAAACAGTCAAGAAAACTGAAGCTAAGAAATTTAAATTAAAAAGTTCCATATTAAATAGCACCTTTACTCTTCTTCCCTTTTCTGTCTTAGGATCTTTTTTGGCTTGTGCAACATTTCTGTAAAACTACCCCTCCATTCCAACTAGCTGCTACCAAATCTGATATCTTGAATCCACAATTTTATCATATTCTTTGCAAATAACAAAATGTTCTTATTCTTTGCCCCCTTCACCTTCATGTCCACACTAGAAAATGGTATTCCTATGCAAAACTAATTCTTTTTATAGTTTAAACTATATGGTTTAGGGGAAAAAAACTGGTTAAAACTTTTACAGTAACCTAAATATAAAAGAAAAGTATCCATTGTTTTAAAAAGACAAACACAATGTAATCTATAAAGTCTCAAAAAAAATTAAAACATATATACTAATCATTCAAGTAGTAATCATCAATCATTCACTGATACGATCTCTTCATGCAGTATGGGGTTTTTTCTTTCCCTCCCTCTACAGCTTACTCCAATTTAGGATGTTTTTGTCTTTTGTATTTTTTATTTTTTGAGATGGAGTCTTGTTGTGTCATCCAGGCTAGAGTGCAGTGGTGCGATCTCAGCTCACTGCCACCTCACCTCCTGGGTTCCAGAGATTC